CTTCTTTTTTGCTGCCCCTCCTTATTCAGTGTCCAGCTTCCACATGCCCATGAGATGACTGGCATCACTGGGGCTTGGGTCAGGCGCCCCTTGGTTCTCCAAGCAGCGTGCTTGCTCGTCAGCCCTGTAGAGAGATCTTGCGCAGCAAATTCACCCAAATGCAGGGCGTCTTTTGGCTTCTTGGCCGCTTGCTTCCGTGAGCATGGACTGTGGTTCCAAGGAGATGATATCCTTGACAGCACTCGGCTTCCCTCCGTTTATCACGATGTCACCTATTGCATCTGGCTGCCAGCAATCCGTGGCCTTCCTGGGCTCGTACAGGTATCTGCCGGAAAAACGAGGGGAACGGCATTCCAGGCTGAGGGAACAGCAGGTGCAAAGGGCCTGACGTCGGTGGGTGTGTTTGTTCTCAGGGACATGGATGGTATCACTTTTCTCAACCTGCCCTGCCCTCCTTGACCTCCCCCCATCCCCCAACCTCCCCCCAAACACAAGGACAATTGAAATGGCGAAAGGCCGGGGCGTCAAATGTTCTCTTCCCCCACTGCCTCGCGCCTGGGATCGGCGGTACAGTCCCTCACAGCCAAGGGAAGACCGTGGCCCTCAGAGGACTCAGGGTTGGCTCCCGGAGGGATTCTCCAAGTGGTGCAAGCCACTTGGCTGTTAACTGCAAAGTGAGTGGTTCTGGTTCACAAGCAAGTGCCTCAGAAGAAAGGCCTGGTGATCTACTCCCCCCCGAACCAGCTCCCGGAAGCCCCGAGGAGCAGAGTTGTCGTCTGATACCGACACATACCCACACGGGCTTGGTAACTGGTGCTGTTTGGGGTTCTGGCACCAGGGTATGACTGGGCCTCAGTTCCCCCCAGGTCAGCCTTTGGCAGGTTGGACCTTGCAGGCCACACACCAGGCCCTGCTTCTTCTCCCTGCCTGGCATGGCCACCAGGGGCTCGCCCTCACCTGGGACGCCCGGGGGGCAGGGACACTCTCAACCCCCACCAGATGTGCTGGCACTTGTGTGTGAGTGAGGAGACCGGTGGCGGGGAGGTGGGGGTGGGGGAGGCACTGAGGAGCATCTGTGATTTTAGGAGAGCCCAGGTGGCGTAGTGGTTGCACGTTGGGCTGCCAACAGCAAGGTCGACAGTTCGAAACCACCTGCCGCTCCCTGGGAGAAAGATGAGGCTTTCTATTTTCATCAAGAGTGACGGTCTCCGAAACCCCCCGGGACAGTTCTGTTCTGTGCTCTAGGCTTGCTAGGAGGCAGGATGGATTCTATGGCTGTGAGTTTGACTTTCACTTTGAGGGCCGCCCCCCCCTCCCCAGCGTTCCCTGAGGCGAGATTGTGGGCCTGCCCCCGGCTGTGCACACTGGGGATCTGAGCACTGCCATCTGCAGGGTCTGCACGCTGGATTTTCAGGAGCGGATGGCCAGGCCTTTCTTCCGAGCCCGCCTTCTGGAACCACCACTGACACCTGTTCGGCATCCTAGCAACATGCAAGCCTCCAGGGGCGGGAGGTGAGTGGGGGTGGGGTGGGGTGGGGAGGCGCACTGCCCTGGATTCGAACTTTGCTCTCTGGCCCAGAAGGCAAGGAGTCTGACCCAGAACCTCAGCTGGAGGAGATGCTAGTCCTTCTGAGGGGACAACAGACAGCCACGCAGGCCCTCCTGGTCACGGGAAAGCAATGCAGTCACGTCCCAGAAATATGTCTGCTGGATCCTGTAGGGTCGAATTGGTGAGTTTTCTATCATCCCTGTTGCCAGGATTTGATGAATGCAGCAGGGACAGGTGAGTTCTCACCGGGGTCCTGAGGGTGGGGTGGCCCTGGGGCTCTGTGCAAACGTCATCAGCAAAGCCTGCTTCCTGGGATGGGGCTGCCTTCTCTGTAACAAAAGCAGAGCCGACCTTTTAAGATCCCGAGCAGGTCTCAAAGCCTGCCCTGTGGATCCTTGGTTCTGGAACATTCTCTGGGATGTGGAGCCGGCCTGTGCTCTGTAAGGTGTTGAGGAGCATCCCTGGCTGCCTCCCACCAGGTGCTAGTAGCACCCCCACCTGATACCCCAAGTATGTTGTTGGTAGGTGCTATTTAGTCGGCTCTGACCCATAGCAGCCCCATGCAAGCCAGGACCAAACACTGCCCGGTCCTACGCCCTCCTCCCAATGGTTTCTCGGCCCTGAGCCGATTGCTGCAGCCGCGTGTCAGTCCGTCTCCTTGTGGACCTTCCTTTCTGTCGCTGCCCCTCCGCTTTACCAAACAGGACGTCCTTCTCCAGGGACCGGTCTTTCCTGACAACACATGCAAAGTGTGGAACCCCCAAATGTCCCCTGGAAGATCATCCCTAGGTGAGAGGCCCTGGGTTAGGGGGTTCCACTGACACCCCCCACCCCCGGCCACTTACAAGAGCTGTGTTTCATGGTCGTCTGGCCTGCTGAGGTATTGAGCTGCTGCATCCGTTTCAAGCCACACACAGAGTGGGGAGGGGAGGAGGGAATTTACAGATGCTGGAGGGTCACCTCAGTCTCTATTGTCTAAGCCAGTGGTTCTCAACCTTCCTGATACCGTGACCCTTTCACACAGCTCCTGGGGGGGTGGTGGCCCCCCAACCATCACATTATTTTCATTGCTGCTTCTCCACGGTCAGTTTGCTACTGTGATGCATCGGGTGACTACTGTGAAAGGGTCGTTCGACCCCCAGGCTGAGAACCGCTGGTCTAAGCCAGGAGTTGCTTCCAAGGTCAGGAGCCCTGGTGGTTACTTGTTGGGCCGCTAACTGCACGGTCAGCGGTTAGAAACCAGCAGCTGCTCTGCAGGAGAAAGACGGCTTTCTACTCCATCATTGGGGCTGGCTCGTTCCCTGGGGCAGAGGGGAGGGCTGTCCTGTGCATTCCGAGGTGGCGGGCTGCCACCGTGGCCTCCTTCCACGCAGAGCCTGCACCGAGTGTGACAGCCACCAGAGTCTCCAGACATCGACAAGGGTCCCTGGGGGAGGATCCAACTTGGAGAACCTTGGGTCCAGCAGATGTTGAGTGGGAGTTGAAATCGGGGATCCGGGAAAGAAAACAAGCCCCACACCAAGCCGGCTTCAGTGGCATTGACCCCCACCCCAGGTGCCACCCGTGGCCGAGGACTGCTCCACAGCGTTGCCAGTGGCGGGTTCCCTGCCAGTCGAGAGCCAGACCTTTCTGCAGGCTCCACCCCCGACTTTTTCGTTAGCAGCCCAGACAGCACGGGTTCACTGCCGGCTCCACCCAGGGGCTCTCAGAAAAGGGGCGCCCCTACGCCTAACCCTGAGTCTCCAGCTCAAACAGCGGCAACAGGCCGGAACTCTGTCCTCTGCTGGCCCTCGTTGGAAGCTTTCAAAGAAACAGAAACTTCACAGCTTCAGCTTGGTTTCAACTGTTTCTCTGTCACCTATGCTGGGTGCTGCAGGGTTAAGCCGGGCACTGTTTTCACACAGGCAAGAAAACGGACTTAAGCCCAGTGTAAACTCCCTAGAAAGCCTGGAGTCTCTTCGACAAAGGTTTCTCAAATCGCCTTCCAATCTTTCTTCTCCTTGGGTGCCCCGAACGAAGCCCAGGTCTGAGCCCCGAGGTGCACACCCTGGACACCGGGACCACTGTGCTCTGGTTCCGAGGCGCTTCTTGTTACAGAAAGTGGCCCCCAGAGAACACAGGCAACACACACACACACACACACACACACACACACACACACGGGCGCGCGCGCGGAAGTGGGCCAGGGTTATTTACTCAAAAAAAGATGAATCAGATTGGCATCTCCATTTCTGCTTTCTGTGGATTGCCCAAGGGCCTCAGCTGTTTCCAGCGAGGAGGCCGGAGGGAGGAAATCCCAGCCGGTGTCGAAACAGGGGCGAGAGGGTTTTAAAAACAGTGCTGCTTTAAAGAGCTGCTTTCACTTTCTGGGAACTTGTGCAATGGTTGGCGATCGTGGTTCCGAGAAAGAGGGTGACCAGGGGGACCTGTCAGAGAGAATGCTTGGGGGTGGGGGGGGTGCAGCGCGTCTCCGGGGGCTCTGCCATCGGGTGTGACATCTACAGGGTGAGGTGGGCTCCTCAGTAACAGAAAATCACATCTCAGCAAGTGGGGTTGGGGCCACCCCATGTGTGCCATGGTTGTTTTTTGGAACGGGGAGGACCATTTCTGGTCCTCAAAGATGTTGTCCATCCCCCCAAAGAGCAGGTAGCTGACCACTGAAACAAAATTCCGTTAAAAGGCAAAGATTTTGTTGAAAATTCGTTAGCCTGGAGTCCATTCCAACACATAGCTGTGCCTGACAGGGTGTTCAAGGCTGTGAACTTTGGGGAACAGGTCACCAGGTCTTTCTTCCAAGGTGCCTCTGGGAGGGTCTGAACTACCAAGCTTTAGTTAGTGGTAGACTAGCAAAAGACAAAGTACTACAGAAACACCAAACGTCATGCATAAATTCAAGATCCCTGCGGGGAGTGGTCAGAGGGAGCCCTGGTGGCATAGGAGTTACTCCTTAGGTGGCGAGCTGCAAGGTCAGCTGTTCGAAACCACCAGTCAGTTGGTGAAAGATGGGCCTTCTACTCCCATAGAGTCAGTCTTGGAAACCACAGGGGCAGTTCTACCCTATCCTTTGGGGGTTTTTTTTTTTGAGATCAGAGGCCCTTCTCTGTGTGCCCGCATGCTCTAGAAGTTTGGCTAAAACCTCAGAAGCTTCCAGAGGGTGGTATTTGTCAGCCTTGAGGAGGTGGCCACATCACGGGAACTGGACCTTTCCCTACCCCTGGGGAAAAGAAGGCAATTTATGGCCCAGGGAACAACCTTAAAATAACTCCCTCAGTCTTAAAAAGCAGTGTTTAAGTGTTATAGGGAAACCCGCATGTTTCTGGCAGCTCGATGCTACAGCTGGAAACCCTGGGTGCAGGGCAGGCTGGACCCAAGCTGCCAACTCCTGCCAGGCGGCCCTCCATGCAAGCGGTCCTAGTCCCCAAGCCGGCACGTCAGTATTGGGATTCTGGAATGATGCGAAACTTTTTTTTTCTTTTATTAAAAAACAAAACCAAACACAATAAACCAATAAAAGAACCCCAGCAAAGGCCTTTGTCTTATAAAAACCATACAGGCGTTCAAAATGCCCACTGTCTTCCTATGTACATTAATACCTGTCAGAGTCGCTATGTACAATATTATATAAAAACATCGCAGACAGTACACGTTAAGGCTGTATTTCTCACAAGGCATGGAGCGTCGAGCCTCGAGTGTAGACCCGGAGTGGGGAAGACTACACGGAATTATTGCACCATTTTGAAAAAGCTTGTCAAGGGGGATGTGGGCATCTTCTCCCACCGGGCCGTCTGTGGGGGCTGGGCCTGGTGGTGAAGCTGGGGGTGGGGGAGGGGGTCCCTGGGCGGCCGCCCGGTGGGGTCCTCTGGCCCCTAATAAATACCAGTCACAGTCACAGGGGGGGCACGCCGGCACAAGGGACCCGCCTCTGCCGGCATGGAGGTCGAGGGGCGTCCCGGCTACATGTGCCTCTTCATGTGCAGCGCCAGGTGGTCGGAGCGTGAGAAGGCGCGGTCGCAGAGGTGGCACTGGAATGGCCGGTGGCCCGTGTGCTTGCGGTAATGCCGCGTCAGCTCGTCGGAACGCGCAAACTTCCAGCCACAGCCGTCCCAATTGCAGTGGTAGGGTTTCTCGCCTGCAGGAGGAGGGGGGGACCAGGTGAGCCTCAGTTTCCCTCCACGAACTCAGCTGCCCACTGCTGTCCTCAAGTGTGCGCCCCCACACCCAGACACTGGCTATGTTGACGGGCACAAGCCCCCTTGTCAGCACCCAGACACACCCCTCGCCCCTTGATGTTTTGAGAACTAAACCCCGCCCCCACCCCCCCACCCCCCGCTCAGGTTCCCATTACCACATGAGTCACCCTCCCTGGGTAGGGGTCCTCAGGCTCCTCACAAGGGGTCTCCAGCATGCCCCTACCCTCACCTGTGCCACTTCCCCGGGGTCCTCAACTAGGCCCACCCCTCAACCCTTTCTGTGCCACGCATCCCCCGAGGTCCCAGCGTGCCCACCTGTGTGCGTGCGCAGGTGCGCCTTGAGGTGCGAGCTCTTGGTGTAGGTCTTGCCGCAGCCCGCGTAGCTGCAGGTGTGCGTGGCCGTGCGCTTGCGTGGCCACGAGCGGCGGCCGCGCTTGGGCTTGGCCTCCAGCAGTTCCAGTGGGGAGGCGGGCGGCGTGAGCAGGCCTCGGGCGGCCGGAGGCGCCAGGCCCAGGGCGGCGGCGGCGGCGGCGGGGGCGGCGGTGGAGGCTCCGGGGTGGCAGCCTCGGCGCCCAGGCCGTCCAGCCCCATGGACAGGATGAAGTCCAGCACGCTGTTGAGGTCGTCGTCAGCACCGCCTGCCTCGGGTTCGGCGCGCGGCCAGCGCTACGGGTGACAGGCGCGGGCATGAGATCGCGGCCCTCGCTGTGTCCAGTCTGGGCCATCGTGGCCCTCTCGGCTCGAGGTCGGCTGCCCGGCCACTCCCACCAGCCCTGCTACCTCCAGGCCCTCCCGCCTTGCCTTCCGTGCCTGCGGTCCCTGTCGCTGGGGTCCTGACGCCCCTCGGTCCTCACCCCAACTGTCCGGCCGGCCCCTCCAGCTGCGTCCTACCCTTGGGCGACCCTCTGAGCTCCCCGTCCCCGGTCCTCGCGCCCCGGGGCTTCCCGGTGGCTGTTAGCCTTTCGCTCCGCAGCTGGCTGTCCACTGGCCCGCCGGTGGTCGGTGGGATTTCCCGGCCGGCCCCGCTGCTTCTGTTTTTATTACCTCGCTGCCGCGCCCGCTGTCTCTGCCTGACCCGGTGGGACCTGCCTTTCCTCCCTGCCTCCGCCCCGTCTCCGTCCCCGGCGCTCCAGCGCGCCGCGCCCGCCGCCCCGATGTCCCCGCCGCCTGCGTTCTAGGGCTCGCTCTCGCGGCCCCCGGGGGCGTGGTCAGAGGGAGCCCTGGTGGCATAGGAGTTA